TATTTAACGAGTTAGGAAATGATGTCATTCATGAAAATACCACTTACTAGTCCTTGCTCTTGAACAAATCATCTTACTAAACTCTTTGAGGTTACAAAGATATAACACATTATTTCAATTTCTCAAGAAACTCAATTTTTAAACAACACAGGGGTTAGGAGAACCAACCCCCGCCTCCCTTGCAGTGGAAAATCCACTTTACATCAATCCTGCATATCCAAGGTTCCATTTTTGTGGATTCAACGCACTTCAGATTGTGTGGTACTGTTGCTGTTGCTTTAGTTGCTCAACCACATCCGACTCTTTTAACAACCCCATGGACTGTAGCCCACCAGGCTCCTCTGTCCATGGGATTTCCCAGGGAAGACTGCTGGAATGGGTTGCCATTTCCTGCTCCAGGTTGCCATTTCCTTCCTTCTTCCTGGTCCAGGGATCACACTTATGTCTCCTGCATTGGTAGCAGATTCTTTACCACTGACCCACCAGGGAAACCTGTGGAACTCTAGTATATATTTATCCAGGAAAAAAAAAAATCACATATAAGTGGGCCCCTGCAGTACAAACCAGTGTTCATGAGGCAAATGTAACCACAGATAACTCAAGACAGAATGTTTTAAGTTCCCCAAGTGTGTACAGTTATAGTTCTTTAGGGAGAAAGATTGCTTTTGGACAGAACGTGGTTAGGGAGATTGAAAGAATGAGTAGGATTTCAAGAGGTAGAAGTTGTATTAAGCCATTCCAGAAAGAACTAAGCCTCAGAAGTGTAAAGGTACAGGGTAATCTTGGCTGGATAATTGGGTGGAAGATGGAATGTTTCCTTTGGGACCAGAGCAGGATGCTGATTCCAGGTGCAGGGATGTGGACTTTGTTCAATAACATTGTTGAGGAGGGGAGTAAAATAATACGCGAGGGAAGAGAACACCTGCTTTGAAGTCTTACTAGGCTCACTCAGGTTCATGATAATGAAGACTTTTACTCAGATATTGGTTCTGAGAATGAAAAGGGAGGGATAAACAAACAATAGTTTGGATGTGAGAAATGAGGTAGGAGGTAACAGTAGTGGTTCCTTGTCTTGAGTCTGGTTTATTAAAACAGTGGTAATTCTTGCATAAGAGACCAGTCAGAATAAAGAAGTAATTTCATAGAAGAAGATAATGTTGGATATGTTGAATCTTAGATTTCAGATGAATATGCATGAGGCCAGGCCAAAAAGGTATTTAGAGGAAAGAACTCAAAATGCAGTCTTTCAGCAAATACATACTGAGCACCTCTCATGTTTAATAACACAAGACATGCTGCTGCTTCTGTGCTCGGTCATGTCTGTCTCTTTGTGACCCATGGACTGTAGCCCTCCAGACTTCTCTGGCCATGGGACTTCCCAGGCAAGGATACTGGAGTGGGTTGTCACTTCCTCCTCCAGGGGATCTTCCTGACCTAGGGATTGAACCAGCGTCTCCTGCATCGGCAGACAGATTCCTTCCCATTGTACTGCCACTATAATTCCAGATTGAGTAAAACACAACCTCTGTCCTCATGACAGAGCTTGTTGTTTGGATAAGGGAAGCAGAGATCAAATGGATAATTACAATGCAATTATCAAAAGTAATGTGGACAGAGTGCTTTGAGAGCACAGAGGGGAAACTATGTCCTTGGTCATAGCTTCCCATGACCATGATCACTTTTAAAATATTTGTGACAAATTAGAGCTTCCAAACAGGGGGAAATTATTAAAGCCTTGGTTTGGGTATTTCATAGAAATGAAGGCTTAATCTAGAGGGAAAAGTGGGAGACTGCTATTCTAAGAGCAAAATCCTAGGTTCATATATACTTGTCAGGCAGGAGAAGGTTGAAAAGCCAGGGAGTGAGGACCCAAAAATTGATGCCAGAAGCTAAAATCAAGATTCAAGACTCGTGAAATTTTGATAGTTCAAAGAATTAGGAAGATTTAGGAATGATTAAAATCTACCAGATTTAGCACGTCAGAGACTATGGATGACTTTTTAAAAAATATTTCAATAATACTAAATGAAGCTGTTGCAGATAGACTGTGTAAATAATATTTGTAAAAAGAAAAGTAGCAAAAGAGTGGTCCTTTTCTGTGTATATACCTATGTTATACATTTTAATGCATAGAGTTGATAACTATTATACAGTTAAACTCCCTATATATAAATATATGGAGTAAATATAAACCATATTTTCATGACCTTGATTTTTAGGAAATACGGGTGTCCACTAAAGCTATTGTAATCATTTCATGATGTATGTAAGTTGGATCATTCTGCTGTACCCTTTAAACTTACACAGTATTGTCTGTCAATTATATCTCCATGAAACTGAAAGAAAGAAAAAAGAAATATCAAAGAACTGATAGGAAATGATCTTGTAGGAATAGTAGAGCCATTGGATTTGGCAGGGACTGTTGATGTTTGAAAATAGTTTTCAAAAAGGAGTAGCAGGAACACAATCTAGACTTTGAAGGAGCTAAGAACATGAGAGTAAATAGAAAGATGACGGCAGTTCCCGGAAACACTGTGTCTCCTCTGTGCTCTGCCCCATCCCCATTATCTAACTTCTGTTTTTTCTTCAGCTATCAGCCTAAATGTTCAACCTCAGGCAGACCTTCCCAGCCAACCTTCTCAAACTAAACCAGGGTACCCATATTATACTAGCTTAGTGTTCTTTAGATCCGTAGACTCTACAATTTGTAATGCACTGCTTGTATATTTCTTTAATGTCTGTCTGTCTTGTAGACTGTTGTTTGCGTGAGGATAGGCACCATGACAATTTTCTCTCCACTTTACATTCCAGCCTCATCCCAGGGTGGGTAGAAGGTAGGCTTTCTGTAAAGATGTGTCATCTGAGAGAAGTCGAAGGATAAGGTGGGGCATTTACACAACAAATTTCTTGGATATAGAGTAGTTAACACGAGACGTGAAAGTCCAGCCTGTGACCTAATATGTGGATTGCTGGAATGGAATGAAGATGAAGATTTGGGGAAATGGAGAGCAGTTTACTAAAATACCTGATACACTCACAGAGGACAAGGATGGGATGAAAGAGAGAGTGACGTTTTCAAACAAATTGATAACAAAGTAAGGGAAGCTGATGGGATAGAGTTCTACAATGAGGAGGTAAAATGTATACTGTCTCTTTTTCCTTATCTGGGGAGTTGGGCGTTTATAAAGAGATGTGAGCCAAGGCTGGTGGACTGGAACTATGTTTTAATTAAGTTAAAATGGTGTCGTGTTGCTTAGAGAAATAAGAGGAAGAAATTATAGGAGGATATGTTCACAGTAAAACATAGGTATCATAGGACACAATACAATAGGACTTACAAAGGGTTAGACAGAGCTGGTGGAACTAGTTTATAGTGGGCTATTAAATACAGTGTATACGCTTAAGTATTAATTGCTCAGTAGACTTGTTCAAAGCAAATTCATCAAAGATTTTTGTCATATGTAGCCCCAAGCCACATGTCTTGGAATGCAATTACCTATAAATATATTTATATCATTTACACTAATGTTTTTGACTGAAGTATTTCTTGTATTTCCTAATGCTCTCTCTCACAGTGCTACAACACTTCATGATATACAAAGCTACCTGGTTTTCACTTCCCAGAAATTCTTGGTTCTGATGAATAGAAGTTACTTTGCCTGGTATTTTTAGAGATGACTAATCCTGCTTTAGATAGTTTTGTTTTTTGAGACCGTTTAGAAAAAACTGTGACTGTGAAATAACTGATATGAGTTTATATGCCCCTCAAATACAATCTAAGGTTTGTTTGGTTTCTTAAATCAGTGTAGTGAAATTTTATGTAGCTGTGAATACCTTGTCTTGTTAAAGTATTTCAGTTTGTTTATGACCAGTATTGTAGCATGGACTTGTAAGGGACCTGGAGTTAGGGATATTTTCTTGGTCCATGAAAAAGAGTTGTCTGTCTGTTCTCTGGGCAAAACAGAATCAATCCTAAGGGAGTCAAATGAGAGCAGCTCACCTGATTCACTGTGTGCTTTACCAAGGGCTCTGCCAGCAGAACCCCTGGTGTTTTATGGTTTTTCTGCATCCATTCAAAATGAAGAATCAAAGTATTTTGTGATACGCTTGTGAATAATCATACATTAAAACACACCTCTTCCCCTAAATGTGTTTTTTTTCCTTCTTAAATTTTTTAAGTTTTTTTTCTTCAATGTAAACATCGAAGTAATTTACCAGTATCATGAGATATGGCTATTAGAAAATAATTCACTTCCTGAATGTGAAATACATAATTATCACTATTGTCGTATAACTAAACATGCTAGGGCTTCAGTGGTTGTTGTTAATAACCTTAAAGCACCTACATTCTTGGTAATATAAGAACAGTGCTGTGGTGGGAGAATAAACTGTTGTACTGCATAGTTTTGCATGTGTGAATAGTTATTACCAAGGTGGAAAGAAAAGAGAAACTCTGCTTTTATCTGTACTTTTTCTCATCCTTTGAGTTCTTTCTAGTCTTCTTGGTACTGGTGAATAACCTTTTCATTAGTCAATGACATTTCGAGCTGTTGCATTTTGGTTCCCCTCAGTAAAATCCTCTATCCTTAAACCACCACCACCCCCCCACCCCAAATAAATAAAAATAATTCTCATCATGTATCTAGGACACTCATGATTTGTCTTTTGAATGAGTCAAAGCTTTGAGAATTGTGTAAATGTTAAGAGTCTGATACTTTGAAGACTGATCATCAGCCTCTCCTGATCTAGGAGACAGTCAGAGCATGATTTTGATTCAGTATTTCCCCTGTCGCCAAAGGTACACTCTGCCTTTAAGCAAAGGCTGTCGCTTAATCTTGGTAGAAGTTTATTATCTTTAATCACCTAAATCGGAGTGTGGAGGAGGAAGAGATTTAAGTCTGAAAAGTATATAACTGCTTCCTCCAGACTATCAAAAGTTAGCTGGTAACTTTGCTTTGGATTGAGACCTGACACCACTCTAACCTGGGTTGTCTTCACAGTGGGTAAACCTCACAAGTGCAACTACTGTGGACGGAGCTACAAGCAGCGCAGCTCACTGGAGGAACACAAGGAACGCTGCCACAACTATCTGCAGAATGTCAGCATGGAGGCCGCCGGGCAGGCCATGAGTCACCATGGTGGGTACACGGCGCTCGCCGCTTTCATTCTCCCCGGCTGCGCTTGTCGTTTATTGTGGGTTAAGCAGTTCTGTCTACCCTTCAGCGTGAAGGTAAAGTTTTACTCTGTTTTAGAGCAATTGTAGATCATGCTCACTTTGTATGGACTTTTCTTCTTAAGGGCTTGAAGTCAGTTAAGCTTTGGGACACTGTGCAAACAAACTATATTGAGTTTTTGTGATACACCCAGTTTATTTCTGATAGCCTGTGTTTGAATTAATATCATAATGGCAGATGGCCTTGAACATACCAAAGTACAGTACTGTTTGGTCTTTTTCATCCGCTGCATCAAATAGATCAAGATGGTTTCATGTAAGTCTATAGGTTTTCTTAAAAAAGTAATTGGTTACTTGTATATTTACATTTCTCTTAGGTAAGTAATCAGTGATATAATTGAAAATGTCTCCACTTTGTCTTGTGGTTTATCTTGGAAGTTACTGATTTTGCTTTCTACAAGTATGGCAAACAGTCTAGACCAAAATAGGTATCACTGCCCTCCACAAAAATCAAAACCCAAACAAAACATCTGGACCTCCACAACACACAATAACAAGTAGGCAAGCAGTCCCTCAGGTTTATTCAATTAATCATTCTCTACGACCATAGACTTCCCTGGTGATCCAGTGATTAGAACTTTGCCTTCCAATACAGGGGGTGCAGTTTCAATCCCTGGTTGGGGAGCTAAGATCCCACATTTCTCTAGGCCAAAAACAAAACAGAAAGCAGAAAAATATTGTAACAAGTTCATAAAGATTTTTAAAATGGCCCACATCAAAAAAAATCTTTAAAAAATTCTCTGTAACTAAAAAAGAAAAAATAATGTTAGTCAATGAGCCTCACAAAGTGTTATGAATTTTAATTCTTTAGATTTGGAGCATCTGTTTGGTCCTACAAATTATATTTTTATACTGATTGATTTTATTCATATAAGCATATACAAAAATGGTAACTTATTAATACATTCATATCTTTCATTTAGGAAAGATTTGGTCAGTACAGTTGAGAAATCCTGTAGTCACTTTTAAAATATAAGCATCTCTTTTGTATTTATAGACAGCTCAAGGATTATTTATGGGAGATTGTGGAACTGTGGAATTGTGTTTATTGGACAGCTAGTGATTACTTTTTGATGAATCAGAAATTTTTTTAGTTATTATTTTGTTACCTTGAATAATTGAAAATTTTCTTTGTATTGAAGGTAGTTTATAGTATTAATTCTGTCATTATTGTGAATGAGTCCTTTTGTTTTTATATTATCATTAATTAACATTTTTGAAAACCTGTGTTTTAAGTCTTTGTAAACTTGGTATTGTAAGCTTGCATTCCTGGGCTTATGATGGCAACATAGGATCCAGAGCATTGAAGTTGAAATTGTGGAACTAGGAGCCCAACAACTCTTGTCTTGCTGTGTGGTGTGTGTCTGTGTCACTCATAGTCTTGGTGTGAGAATTAAATGTGATTGGATGGGCAATAAAAGCCCAATAAATAGTTATTTTTACTATTTCAGGTAATTAAATATTAAGAAATAATAAATATCACACCCCTTATAAAGTTACGATGTTAACTTAGACCTTTGAGGTTTCATTTACTGAGCACATTGTTTCTGTTCAAATTGTTGCTTTTAGAGATGACTTGAGGCAAGGTAGCTGATGGAGGCTTGGGGCATGCCAGAGTTTCCTTAAGACACCTTTATGGCACTACTCCTAATTTTTCTGTGTAATGTTCTTTCATTGTGATTTTGATATTTGACTGGATTATTAGTTTTATGAACTAATTTTCCATTCACAGTTATTTATGAAACTGTGTTGCAAACACATGTATATGAAATAGAATCCCTTCTTAAAGACCATATATTTTTTCTAGGGAGGTAAGGTATACATAAGTAATTATAGTCAGCATGTAACTATCTGTTGAGATATTAATCAGCTATAGAATAAGTGGTGCCAAAAAATTTTAATAGATGTATTCTGGGGTAAAAAGAGTTCTAAACAGTTGCAGCCTCAGCATCAACCTCTGTTCTCCAGATTGCTTAGCCTTTGACAGGCAAATGCCTTCACAGATGGTTTGAAACTGGAAGAGTATGGAAAACTGGAAAGGCAATCAGGTACTGGGTAGGGTAGGGGATAAAGCAAGATGGAGTGTGTGTGTCTGTGTGGGAGGGGCATATACATTTTGGTATCATTTATAGACCCAAATACTTGCTCTTCAATAATGGATGGAGTTTTAACCATCCAATATAAACCATATAAATTTATATTACTGCTATTTCATGCTGCACTTTTTCTAAATGTGTTGCAGTAATAGGTTGAGATTATCCTTAACCTCTGCTTCGTTTTGTTAACATGTGTAATGTCTGAGGTAGGAGGTGATAATTGCCATAAGAGAGACAATATGGGTAAAAATGCTACTAGTGATCATCATTAACCTGTCTCATATACATGGCTTGGCATGTGTCTCGTTTTTTCCAGAGCCACAGTGTCTAACTATTCTATTACACTGTGTCTATTATCTTGCCTTTTCTTTTAGCTGTAGACATGGGGGTTGCCATCACTGTGGTCACTTATTAGTTCTTTGAAATTAATGACTATTCTTTCTTTTTCATAACTGGCATTGTTATATGTCCTAACCTTTCTTTCCCAAAACATGTTCTTCCCCATGTTGGTTTCCTCTAGTGAGGAAGTCTAAAGTCAAAGAGACTTTCTTTCACTTCAGTTCAGGAAAACACCTATCATGGGCTTGCTGTGTGCCAAGCTCTGTGGAATGTTCTGAGAATATAAAGATACATGGACATAGTTTTGTATAGTCTCATAGGAAATACATAGAAGATAAACAAAATGAAGCAAATGCTCTAATAAAGGTGTATAAACACTTCTCCTGAAACACAGATGCAGAAGTCACCTAACTGGAGAAATCAAGGGAAGTTTCTTAAATGAAGTTTTTCCTCCATACATAAGGATGAGAAAAATTACACAGATCAGATTCACAAAAAGTATACATCCCAGGATGAGAAGTTGTCATAAGCTAAGACTTAGAGGTATAAATGAACATTAACAAGTTTCTGGATACTGAACACAGTTGGAGTTCAAGGGATGGTAGGAAATGAGACTAAAATAGTAGGTTGTGATGCAGAGATGGAGTTTTACATGCTAATCCAGTTTTTAAATTTCACTGGGGTAGTCAAATCTGTGTCTTCTGAAAAACAGCATCACTGATGTAGAACATAGGATAGATGCCTGACTGGAGTGTGAGGAGAGACTAGGAGTGAGCATGCCAAGGAAAAAATAAAGAGGAGCAGCAGAAGAAAAGTATATATTTACAAGTGAGGATCAAAAGTTCTCAAGTTTGATAAAAAGGAGGAAATTAATGACTTGCAGTTTTAGAAGTAAAGATAATAGTGAATTGCATTTTATGGCAGATTATCTTATTTAAAAGTTATTTTATGCTCATTTTTCAAGTCTTCTCAGCTTGAAGAAAAAGCTTTAACAAGCGAACTATGTAATTAGCTTTTCCTCCTTGCCTGAAGACAAAAATGAAAGTGTGAACCAAAAAGATGGCCAAGTTTAAAGCAAGAATGTATATTCTTAGGTTTATGTTTTGGATTATTTGGTAACGGGAATTTCTTTATTGCAAGGATGGAGGCATAATTGGTAACATACAAACTTCCTAGTAAGCTCTTTCACTGGTTTTGAATGAGTGACAGCATTTCAAGATGTTTGTTTAGTAAACATCCATTGATTCTTATTTGTCTCACGTCATCTGAAGAGAGAGTCAAATAAAATTCAGTCCCTACTTGAGGTCACTTACCAACTCTTAGAAGAAACAGACCAGTCAACCAGCAGTCACAGCGCTGAGTCATAAGCATTATGGGAGCACAGAGGACAGGTATCTACGTCACAGTGGGCGTCCAAGAGGAATTTCTAGGGAAAATTATGTTTGAGTGGAGTTTTGAAAGGCAGAAGAGCAAGCTAAATAAATGGAAAGGGGTATTTCATGTGGACAGAACAGCATGTATAAAGAAATAGAAGTCTAAAAGAGCATGGTGGGTTAAGGACCTCCAAGTACTTATGTATGATTAGAGCCCGGTTGGTAAAGGAAGGAAAATTGGAAGGTGATGAGGCCTGAGAGAGAGGGGCAGTGAAGGACCTATTGTGCTAAGCAAAGAATTGGATGAATTTTATTCTTTATCCTGAAAAATATTATTACACTCACATTTCATTGCTAGAAATGCGGGCAGGAGATCAGAAGAGTCAAGACAGGACCATGTAGACCATGGCAACAGTCTCCTGATTGGCTGAGTTAGGCTTAGTAGCCATCAATATTCAGAACACTTAAAACACTGAGAGCAACTCTAAATGTAGCATCTAAGACATTTGGTATCTCCATGAGTGTATGTCTGAGGAGGGAGGAGGAGACTGGATGAATGGGCAAAAATCTAGGATTTGCCACAAGTCTCTAGTATGGATGACCATGTAGATAGTGCTCTTCATGGAGATGGAAATTAGGAAAATAAGAGAAAGTTTAGGGAGGGAAATAGGGGTTTCAGTTTTTGAACACATTATCTTTTATGCACCTGTGAGAGACAGCCAAGTAAAACTGTCTAGACGGAAGTTGAATATATAGACCTTGAGCTCTTAAGAGAAGTATCAGTAGGCAATAAAGATGTGGGAGCCATCCTTATATGGGTAGTAATCTAAAGTAACAGGTTTTATAAGGTTATATAGGTAAGTATGGAATGAGACCCCGAGGAAGACAAGGACACATTAAGAAGGGGGAAAAGAAATGCACTGAAGCTGAGTGAGACTAGAGGATGGGAAAATGGAAAAAGTAATTTCAAGTATGGGCCCTGCCCACTGTTGTCAAGGATATAATTAAGATAAATGAGAAGTTTCTTTTTATGTTCTACAACATGGAGAAAATCTGTGATAAGATAGAAGACATGTGTTGTCTTTATCATACTGCCCCTTCTTCTCCTGTAGTTAACAAAGCTTCCATTTTCCTTTCAAGAGCTATCCTCTCCCATTGGCTGAAGGCACAGTGGGGCTGTCAGTTTAGGTGCCCTGCCCTCTTCTGCGGAATGTAGACATGTGACCTAATCTAGGTCTCTCAGACTATGTCTGCCTGGAATTTGAAATTTGAGTGGATTGTTTGTCAAAATAGCAATGTTGGTAACACTTGCATGGTTCTATCTTTGTGATTTATCAATCTGATGAGATAAGGAAATAATGCAAGGATAAATACATTTTATGATGGTTATAACTTCAAAAATAAGGTCAAGAAAGATATTTGCTTATGAAATTTGTTCTAATAAGTGAAGTTGATATTTTCTTAGCCTAGCTGAATGTCACACAATACTATTAATACATTACTAACTAGGGAACTTGTTTTGTGTTTCAAGCGATATATATCTAGAAACATTTTGATGAGTTGCACACAGATTCATGAAAGCAAATAATTGAGAAGATTAGCCCCATAATATATCAAATGTATCAGATCTTCTCTCAAGGAAACCTTAAATATATTTCAAACTTGTTTATACAAAGTCAATACTCAAATAGTGGCTCTGGAGGGAGTCACACCACGTAGGTTCTACCTAGATATAAACACTGAGAAAATGGTTCAATTAAATTCATTGTAAATCAACTATACTTCAATTTAAAACACAGTGTAAATGAACTGTACTTCAATTCAAAACACATTGTAAATCAACTACAACTTTTTTAAAAGCACAGTGAGAAAATTACATCTTTGGGTCTTTGTTTCCTCATCTGTAAAATGGAAATGGTAATTGCACCTGTCTCAGGGGGTTGTTGAAAGCATTAATTAGATTATCAAATGGAAAGCCTTAAAAAAGTACTTAGTATATAGCGTGAGTCTGTTGTTTTTATTATTGCCAGCATGGTAGAAGCAAGACTATTATTTGATAGGTAAAAGTCTGTTGTGAAGTAGAAGTCAGGCCAGAGCTCTGCCAAAGTCCTTGTTTTCAGTTCACATGAGCATCATTGAACTTGGGACAAATCACCTGAATTGAGGTGGATGTGGTGTGGGGCAGTTCCCACACCCAGGTTTCGTTTTGAGTGTTAAATGTGTGCAAATGTGAAAATTCAAGGTGAGACTTGAGCAAAACTGCCAAGTTCTAGACAACTCATTTCAAAACTAATTAGTATATTCAATTTTGGGGCAAACCCTGTTAACCAGTTTTGCTGTTTTTTAGCAAAATTTACAACAACAAACATTTTTTTCTTCTCTTATTTGATTTCGGATCTTGGTTCATGACATATTTTCATCTTAGGCCCATTCATGGCCTGTATTTCAATTAAATAGCTATTTTTTGATGATGTAGTAAGTGCCTGTGAATTCAACATCTAAAACAAAAGTTAAAATTTTGACAATAATGTATATCTAATTATATGAATACCCACTATATCTTCCTGGATCCCCTTATCTGAATTCCTGTGGACATTCATTCTTTGCTTTAAGTTTTTTTCTTTTTTGTTTTTCTTATTTAGTTGTTGCTAAGAGAGGACATGTTTTAAGTAATGTCTAGGGGCATACTTTTTGTATTTGTATATCATGAATTATATCAGTATACAAGTGTTTCTTTGTTTCCAAGTCTCATCTTGGAAATTTTTCCAAATTAACATTTAAGAATTATAGGATCCCTTGTCATTAAAATAGAGATTGAAGATTGAATGTTTCTGGCCCATCCACCTGCCTATACTAGGTTAACCCAAAACTTACATTGAATGTTGATATATTTAAGCAGGTCTGAATTACAAAAACATTGTCTGATACCATTTTTCATTTCTTCAAAATCTATAACCTGTATTGGTTATTAAATAGGTCACCTGAATTGTGCACTGGATTTTTTTAACTTTGATCTCTTGCCTTCTTACTTTTAGTGTCTGCCCCTATAAAGGATAATGCACTGTGTTTCACACGGTAGAGCTAATCCTCCGTAAATCATTTTACAGTACATGATGAACAAGATATCTTGATATGAAACCTTTAGATTTCCAAACAGTGCTGAGACAAGTTCAATTGTTAAAAAGTAACAGTAATCAAGAAATAATAAGTTATAGTCTTTTCTGCAAATGTTGGTTTTAATCCACTGATCAGCCTTCCCAGGTGGTGATAGTGGTAAAGAACTCACCTGCCGATGCAGGAGACATAAGAGACACAAGTTCAGTCCCTGGGTCAGAAAGATCCCCTTGAGGAAGGCTTGGCAACCCACCCCAGTATTCTTGCCTGGAGAATCTCATGGACAGAGGAGCCAGGCGGTGCTCTCCAGTCCTTAGGGTCACAAGGAGTCAGACACGACTGAAGCGATTTAGCATGCACGTGCAGTCTGTCTCCAGTGTTACTCTCTTTAGTTAAATGTCCTTTGAAAGTATTTTTGTTCAAAAATAACTTGAAGTTCTGTGTCTATACCATACATGTGAGTATCTCATGTCAGTGTCTATGAGCTAATAAATTAACCCACAGCCCCTCAGACAGATGGGATGAAAAGGGAGCAGCAGAGGAGACTTTATGTCAGATGAGTTAGAGCAGTAGTCTAGTGAGCAAATATGCCAATTTGGAAATGGATTCTCTTATCCTGCTGAAGAGCTCTTTTTAAAATAAATTACAATCATAAAGCTGTCACCGTTTACTATGCACGGACATGTCCAGAATCAGATCTCCTTCATGAAGGCTGCTTTGTGCAGGTAGGTAGCCACAGCCAGCAGGCCTCACAGCTCTTTCAGCTCATCAGAAAGAAAATCTGCTACACGAAAACACATGGGTGAAAAAAACTGATTAAATATGCTGCTCTTCTGTGTGTCTGTATAAGCTTCCTTCTGAAACAAGTTGACTTGCTTAAATTTTTTTAGAAAAATAAACTCCAAAAGCCTTGAGAATAGTGCAGTCTTAAAGTTAGTATTGATTTTCATCAGTGTTAAAAACACTTTCAGAGGAAGATAATGAGAAAAAGAACATGTTGACCACCAGTAGTGGCAACAGTGTATGTCATTGATTTGAAAGAGACTTGGATAAAAACAAGTCCTGTGTGTGTGTGTGTGTGTGTGTGTAAAATTAAGAGTATACTTTAACATTCGAGGTTATTCTTTCTAATTGCTTTTACTCTAGCATGCTAGTTTTTAATGTTTGTATAACGCATGTTGAGGTGGAAAGTCCAGCTTTGCATCTTTTTAAATGTTGAAGAAATTATCAGATTACATTTTTTGTATGGTTTTATATAGTACCTCCTATGGAAGATTGTAAGGAACAAGAGCCTATTATGGACAACAATATTTCTTTGGTGCCTTTTGAGAGACCTGCTGTCATAGAGAAGCTCACAGGGAACATGGGAAAACGTAAAAGCTCCACTCCACAAAAGTTTGTGGGTAAGCATTACAAAGGGGTTTATTTCTCTAAAAGCTGATTTTCATGAGCAAAGGCATACTCCCATGTATATGTGAATATATATGGTGTGTTTCAATTCATGAAATGAATGGTCATCTCTTTTCTCCATCATACTACACACAAAGTATGTATGACATCGCACACAGACACACACACACACAAACTGCACACCCTTAGGCAAGTGGGCCTAAGAAAGAGAGATGAAGGAAAGAGGGATAGGACTCTAATGTTATCTCAAAATGAAGCCTTATATAAAGGAAGTGAAAGCTACTCAGTCGTGTCCAGTTCTTTGTGACCATGGACTTTCTCCAGGCCAGAATACTGGAGTGTGGGTAGCCTTTCCCTTCTCCAGGGGATCTTCCTAACCCAGGGATTGAGCCCGGGTCTCCCGCATTGCAGGCAGATTCTTTACCAACTGAGCTATCAGGGAAGCCCAAAGTAGCCCTCATGGCCTGTACTTACATAAAGTATAATAACAAATAACAATACTTAAAGAGAATGATGTAGCCTATTAGCCAGGTTTTTAATATATTTTCTTTCCACAAAATTAATGCTTTTAAAGAATCTGTCTACCAATGCCAGATACGCAGGAGATACGGATTTGATACGGGTTGGGAGGATTGCCCTGGAGGAGAAAATGGCAACCCACTCCAGTATTCTTGCCTGGAAAGTCCTATGGACAGAGGAGCCTGGAGGGCTATAGTCCATGGGGTTGCAAGAAGAGTCAGACACAGCTGAGCATGCATTCCCCCCCCAAGTATTTAACCTAGAATGAAGAGAGAGCTTTTTTTTTTCAATTTTGCATTAAAATAAGTAATTCAGCAATCTGCATTCAAGATGTTTCATATTTTGAGCTACAGTTCATATTTTGATCTTTGTTTTCATGTAGCTTATGTTTTGAACTGAAAAGATTAGGTTTGATATATTAGACTTTCATTTCCAAGCCCTCAGATATTCTTTGTTACACTCAGAGTTGGCATCATTCTGCATACTATAATACTATAGTCGTAAATTATCTCTAAAGTTACAGAATTATCTAGCTATTTTCAAAAAGAGCTGAATGAATAACAGAGTCAATATAAAAAATTTTCATTATTTATGTATATAATATATATTCTTATAGACTTATATAGAGTGCAAATTAGAAGAGATAAAAAAATAAGCAGATTCTCACATTCTAGTGTCAAAATACATTGTGGAACATCTTTATGAGGGTTGAGTAGTAACTGAGAGAAAACCTTTGCTTTGGTTATTTCACAGGGGGAAGGGTAATAAAATTCTCCTATTCCAGTAAACACTTAGAGAAGATTTCTTTTCAATCTAAAATTGAAGAACTAACAAATCACCAAAATATGAATTTAAGACAAGCTGGAGAAATTAACTGACAAAGTTCATTGAAAGAAGCCCGAAGATCATAGCTTATGCTAGGTTAGTTCAAAACTCGGGCTTCCCAGGTGGCGCTAGTGGTAAAGAACCCGCCTGCCAATGTAAGAAACTTAAGAGACATGGGTTCGATCCCTGGGTCAGGAAGATTCCCTGGGTGAGTGCATGGCAACCTACTCCAGTATCCTTGCCTAGAGAATCCCATGGACAGAGGAGCCTGGTGGGCTGTGATCCATAGGTCCTCAAAGAGGTAGACATGAATGAGTGATTTAGCAGCCCACACAGTTTAAAACGAGCCCCTCAGAGTATACTCAGATCTGTTTTGGGCCCTGAGTCACTTTTATTTCTGTCTCTCTCTCTTCCTGCTTATAAATAAGCTTTTTTAAATGCCAGTTCTTCTGTTTTACAAAATTGATTCGTTTGCTGGATGTCTATTAAATGTCTATGTCATTGGAAAAATATGAAATTTTTTACTATTCTGTTTTCTGAATTTACTTAGTTCTCATCTTTGTAATGTTTTCATGTTTCCTGTGACTTAGATGCTACTCTCAATTTGACTTAATTGCATCTCTTAGAAAAGAGGGGTACATTAAAATTTTTTTTTATTCTAAAATAAGAACATTACATTTTTATTAGAAGTTGATGATATGTTTTTCTTTATTAGGATTCTGTCCTAGTGGTAATACACAATTGATGCTTGAACAACACAGGGTTTGGGGCAATTGCCTTAATGCAGTGGAACTTTGCATATGACTTACAGATGACCCTCCTTACACAGTTGTCCATACCCACCATTCTGCATCCATAGATTCAACCAACCATGGATCATGCAGTACTATAGTATTTACTGTTGGAAAAAAATCCTCCTATAAGTGGACCTGCACAGTTCAAACCCATGTTGTTCAAGGGTCAACTGTATAACAATTGCATAGTAGTTTGTTTTATGATGCCTTTTGAAATGAGAAATATCATCATTCCTCACTTACTATAAATTTGTTTTTGTCACTTTCCTCAGTTAAATACTTTCCTTTGATTTTATTAAGCTCTTCAGGTCAGTGATCCCTGAACTTGCTGTGTATTTGTTTCAGCCTCTCTTTTCTTATCCAGTTTGGATTCCATGACTCTGTTGTCTTACTGTCCTTCTGTCTTTCAACTAGTAAAATTCCTACCCTCTAATGAAGCCAACTGAACCTCTTTTCCACATCTACATAGTTGCTAGTATTTTAGAGAAAATCCCACAGCCTTATAAATTGGCGTTGCTGTAAATAAATGAGTAACTGATCTCAAATACTAATTGTCCCATCCCTACTGTATAGTGGCCTTCCTTTTATCCATCCCTGAACACACTTCTCTCATATTCAACATGTAGGGCCATTTCAACCTTTCTCTACTCTCCCAAAATATGGTATCTCGCACCTTGGTGATATTACATCTAGATTCTTTGGAAATAAAAACAGTTGACATGATTTCAGCTATCACTAATCCTGTAAGATATGTGCACTCATGTGAATGCTCTCTTTCATGATGAAAGCAGCATCCTTCTTTCTAATTAATGCTGCTGCTTGTTCCCTGGGATTCTCCTAACCCAGCCCCTCAGATAACTTGCACTATTGTTTTCCCCCTTTCTCACATATATTTTTAACATGTCCCTTCTATTGGCATTTTTCTTTTGGCATTCAATGTGATGAATTCTCATCATAAAAAAAAAAAAATCTAATCTCAAACCCAAGTCTTTTTCCAGTAACTACCTACTTTCTCCTTCACTTCGAATATGTAATTGTTGAAAGAGTTCTCTGTGATTGCTTTCTATAATTTTCTTTCTTTCTACTCATTCTCCAGCCTACACAGCCTTGCTTTTGTCCTCATGTTCTACTGAAATTGCTCTTTATAGTGTCAAGTCCAGAGGACTTTCTGGCCATTTTACACAACTGGAGCGGATTTTCACTACTGAATAGTTATGCCCTTAGAAACACTCTCTCTCCTTGGTCTCAGTGACACTGATCTTGCTTGCGTTTCTTCCAGCTTCTCTGACCCCTCCTTCTCAATCTTCTTAATGGGTTCCCTCTAAGAGTTACACAAATGGTTCTACAGTCCTAATGGAGGCCTCAATTCGTATGCCTAATTATTTTAATATCATAAATCAGGCTTAAATTAAACACTATTGTGTTCTAACCTCCTAATCTGGAAGACTGAGTTCAAATAATATAGAATCCTCAGATTCCTCAGAGTTCCACACCAGAACTTGAAGGCATGAGCAGAACAAACCCCCTGGTGTGCAGTCAGTCCCCTCTTTTAAACCCACTCCTGAGCATCAAAGAGGGGCCTCCTGCATGTGTGTGTACACACTTTGGTCTGCACATCCACATTCTTTTCACGTCCCACCCCACTCACAGCACGTAGAGTAGTATACTGACCATTCTTCAGGCCTTAGTGTACCTACCAGCAACAAAGTTGGTACTCAGGGAATGGACCCTGTGAAGAGGACTCTGCAACTCTCAGTGCAAGTTCTGGGCCATTTGGACAAAGAATTCTGGCATGCTGGGTACCCAGAGCATAGTCTAGGGTGTAAGCTCCAGATTGGCCCTTTCCCTTGGCCCTACACATTCCTTATTCCTTCATAAGGAGTGAGACCCAGGGCTCTCTAAGCATGGGACTCTAATCTCACTTGCCCTAGTCTATGGGCAGGTGTAAAAACCTTGATGCTCTTCCAAGTTCCATTTTTGACCTTCTCTTTTTCACATTTTACCTGTGCCTTTGTGAGATCGCCTATTCCCATGGCTTCAGAAACTCATTTCTATTAACTGATGCCTCTTATATCTGTATCTCAAGCCCAAATCTCTCTCCTGAATTTGAGACTGTATCTAAGTACTTGCTAGACATGACTATGACTCATAGTCTTCCCCAATCTGAATTCACCATCTTTTCTATCCCATTGCCATCCACCAAGTTTCCCAGACCAGAAACCTGGGCTTCATACTTAACCTCTTTCTTTTTCTCATTCTGTGTCTAGATATTCACCAAGTTCTAGCAACATTTTCAAAAATTTTCTCCATTCCATCCATTTTTCTCCATTTCCACTGCTACTGTACTACTTGAAACCACCCATGGTGTCTACATCCCTGTAGCAACAACTTCCTAAGTCATCTTGCTAAATAATTCTCTAGTTAGTCACTTTCCTGTTTAACCCTTTCGGTTCTTGCCTCTCTCAGGATAGATTTCAAATTCCTTAGCTCTTGAATAAGCCCTATATTATCAGATAGCAACTTTCTCATCTGTTTCCATTCTCAGCCGTATGCAAAGTGTTAGTAATCCCCAGGATGAGTCATGCCCTCCTGCCTCTGAACCTTCCTACCAACTTGTCATCACATCCATTCTGTGATGTCACTTTCTTCAGGAAGCTTTCTTTTATTAATACTGTGAGTTTTGTGTTCCTTAGTTGACCCCATACCACATATCACACTGTATTATAAATAATCCCTGAATTGTTGTCACACCCGCTAAACAGGGCTTCCCTGGTGGCTCAGTCGGTAAAGAATCAGCCTACAATGCGGGAGACCTGGGTTTGATCCCTGGGCCAGGAAAATCCCCTGGAGAAGGGGAAGGCAACCCACTCCAGTATTCTTGCCTAGAGAATCCCCATGGACAGAGGAGCCTGGTGGGCTACAGTCCATGGAGTTGCAGAGAGTTGGACAGGACTGGGTGACTAAGCACAGCACAGCTTAACTTTTAAACTCTTGACACTGCAATAACTTAATTGTATGCTGTGCCTCTTTTTTTTTCAATTTTCACTCCTCTCATCTGGGAGACCTTCCTTCAAACCTGAAATAATACTAGCCACATGAAAGTATTTTTCCCTAATACAATTTTATGGATCAGTATTGCATGTTAGTCAAAATAAGCATTAGTAGGAGAACACATTGATTTAATGGCAGAATTTTTAAAAGATTAAATACTCTGTCCAAAACTTGGGATATTTGAAGGAGAAAAACCTAAACTCCTATTTTGTACACCAACTCTTTAATTGGTTAAGCTTAGATATTATGTTGATATATAATATTGAAGTAAAATTAAATTAGTTGAAGTAAATGTTGAAAAGTAAAACTACAAATCTCTCTCAGTCAAGAAAATATATAGAAAACTAACAGTGGGTGTTCCTATAGTAATAGCTTATGTGTCTACATAAGAAAGGGGTGATGCAAAAATGAATGATTATCCATTTCAAGAAGCAAAACAATGAAACAATCATTTTCAAGTTTATAATAAGTAAGTGCTTTGGGAAATACCCTATTTTTATATAGCCCTAATTTCATTCAGTTTATCAATTAAACTGTTAAAAGTATTTTAATCGTGGCATTTAAAAATTTTCCATAATGACATATATTTGGTCTATAATCTTTCTCTAACATAGCAGCTAAATCAACCAAATTAACCATACACAATAATGAGATTACACAGGTGTTATAACCATATCACTCTCATTTTATGATCTTTGAGGCTTGGTCACTGATGTTTAAAATATGCAAGAACAAGTAAATCTCTGACTATTTTTACCTGGTATTTCTTCTTTCTTCTACAGTTTCTGAGCTCTAGACAAGTGGAAACTTTGATAGAGAATGAAAATAAGATAACACACACACAATCATACCTTTCAGGCTAGATGCATTTTCATGATGGCATTAGAACAAGTGCAAATGGCTGGTGACATTTTTATTACTAATCCTCTCTGTAGGTTAAGAGTATTTGTGAGTCTCAGCAGAATTAAAGAGCCTAAATACTTGATTTAAAGAATAAGATATACCATATTATAGAAAATGAAAGTGATTAGTTAATTTTGTACGTATATATCCTTAGTCAAGCTATTCATTGTGTTGTATTCTTTTTTTGTCCCCTTTTTCCTTTTCTCCCCTTCTTCCATTCAGGAGAAAAGATCATGCGATTCAGCTACCCAGACATTCACTTTGATATGAACTTAACATATGAGAAGGAGGCTGAGCTGATGCAGTCTCATATGATGGACCAAGCCATCAACAATGCAATCACCTACCTTGGAGCTGAGGCCCTTCACCCTCTGATGCAGCACCCGCCAAGCACAATCGCTGAGGTGGCCCCGGTTATAAGCTCAGCTTATTCTCAGGTCTATCATCCAAATAGGATAGAAAGACCCATTAGCAGGGAAACCTCCGATAGTCATGAAAACAACATGGATGGCCCTATCTCTCTCATCAGACCAAAGAGTCGACCCCAGGAAAGAGAGGCCTCTCCCAGCAATAGCTGCCTAGATTCTACTGACTCAGAAAGCAGCCATGATGACCACCAGTCTTACCAAGGAAACCCTGCCTTAAATCCCAAGAGGAAACAAAGCCCAGCTTACATGAAGGAGGATGTCAAGGCTTTGGATACCACCAAGGCTCCTAAGGGCTCACTGAAGGACATCTACAAGGTCTTCAATGGAGAAGGTGAACAGATTAGAGCCTTCAAGTGTGAGCACTGCCGAGTCCTTTTCCTAGACCATGTCATGTACACCATTCACATGGGTTGCCATGGCTACCGGGACCCACTGGAATGCAACATCTGTGGCTACAGAAGCCAGGACCGTTATGAGTTTTCATCACACATTGTTCGAGGGGAGCACACATTCCACTAGGCCTTTTCATTCCAAAGGGGACCCCTATGAAGTAACGAACTGCACATGAAGAAATACTGCACTTACAATCCCACCTTCCTCAGATGTTGACATACCTTTTTTTTTTTAATATTGTTACTGTCATTAATTCTTATTTTGTGGACGCAGTGTCATTTGCTCTGCCTGATTACAATAAGGAAGAAATGGAAGAGAGAAGAGACAGGGGACATTGTTTCTTGACAGCTTGACTTGTTTATTGTGTGGGAATTTAAGAGCAGTTCATTTCTGCCATGCATAGATATAAGGTATATCATGCTTTGAGGGAAAAAAAAAATCACTGGATTCATAAAAATTCATCTAAGGATTCTAATTTGCCACTGATGTTCAGGATTGTGCGAAGGCAGGAAAGATTAGCATTTTCTGGGTTGGACTTTCACAGTTTTAAATGGGATAAGTAATTTTATTGGTCAAAGAAGAATTTGTTTCAAAATGTAAATTGTTTCCTTTTCCTCTAGAGATCATGGAACACACACACATTATTTTCCATGATAACTCCTTGGATGAGTAGTTGTTGTGGGTTCTATGTTTACTTCCCTTGTGGAATTTATAATACGGTATGTTGTACCCTGTACCATATAGCAAAACTTATAAACTACAGGTAGTTAAGGACAGCTACAATACATCTGAGGTCCTATGATCTTATTTTTCTAAACTTAAGCACTGTTTTTCCATAGTTTTGATGACTGGCATTTTATAGACACCCTGGCAGCCTTACTTTGAACACCTTTAACAAATAGTGTTTTTATCTAGTTTTCAGAATAACATATGGTCTAAGAGTGGCTAAGAGGCATTCAGTAGTTTTCAGAAGGGACCTCTACTTTTCTTAAATTTGTTTGGGAAGTTTTCTTTTACGGCTGTAATGTGATGGCAGCATAGTATACATAATTCCTTTCTAAAAAGTATGCTTACGATTGTCACTTTATCAGCATTTAATCAGTGTTAAACCAGTCAGCAGAAAAATACTGATATAATTAGGCTAACAGTAGGGGGAAAAAAAAACCCACTCAGAAATCCCTTTTCTGGTATTTCTCTTTTCACTGGTTTTATTTTTCAAGCTTTGACCCCCAGCGTTTTGTCCATAGTCTGTTTATCTTTTATTCTTCTGGTGGAAGGTCTTAAATATCTTGCTGTAGGCTATTTCTTTCAAAATCTCAGAGCAGTTGCTAATTTGATCCAAGTATGGTGACTTGAACCACATAAGGTTATGGAACTAGGGCTATTTATTCTAATATTTCTTCAATAATAATATTTACCATTTTTGGTACAAGGAAAAAGCAACTTCTCTGTAACCGGTGCATTACAGATAAAATAGACAAAAACAAAAGCTTATTTTTACCCTTCTTGGAGTCTAGAACGCAACCGAACCTCCAAGCTAAAGTGTTCATGTCCACACTTTTCTGTCTCAAAAACATGAAACTATCAATGTAGATAAGCTCTTATGAATCTCAGTCCCTTACTAAAGAATTTTTCTTCTTTTAATTCATATATATCTTGCCATATTTCATGGACAGATTTTAATTTCATTTATATGGGTGTTCTGTTTTTTTTCTTTGCAGTCTAACAGCATTAGAGGGGAGGAACTGAGTGAAACTGATTAAATTCGCTTGTGGTGGGCCCACTTGGAGGGAGAATTCACTGCTTGTGTTTAGAGAGGATAGGCCTGACCATGACTGGATTGTCTGGTAACCATTTCTGAACGTTAAAATTACATTAAGCAGTAAGTGATAACTGCTCTAAAAAAATCATTCAGTGGGATGTTAAAACTGTGTTTCTTAGTGCAGAATGATGTGAGAATTAGCAACACTAGAGAACTATGATGGATAAGTAGGTCTGGCCCCAATACTGTTCATCACCCATTTTCAGCTTGCCATTCACTTGTGTAAGCAACGTCTAAGCACTGATACGCTAGAGCTAGGCGAAAAATGGTTACAACTCAGCTCTCTTTCACTGGCCCTCTGTGGCAATTATTTTTGGAGAAATACCCAAACTATTCCTTTACATCTCAGAGAAAGCACCAAATCGAAGATGAAATGTTTTAAATAGAATGTTAACTGTCACTTATTTCCCTGCATGCTCTGGTGCGTTACCACATTGTGAACATACAATGTATTATTCATAGGTGAAGCATGTCTTTGAGACTTACCCCAACTATCCCAACCAATTTACTGTAATTTAAGGAAACATTTGGATGGCAGTCAGTATGTTCATAATTTTGGCTATGTGTGAGTTTCTGCTGGTATCATCTATGAATTTTTTTCCTGCTTACTAATTTTTTTTTATCAGTGTATGAACAATCATGTACCTACCTGCCCAGGGATGAAACTGAATTCAGTGGACCTACAGAATTGTAGATTTGCCCCCTGAGGACAGTCCTAATGGCACTCTCCCTTTCTGATTCCATCTTTTTGAAAATCTTTTTTCAAAAAATTACTACCAGTGTGTTACTTGTACTTTCTTAGCTTCATAGGAGGAACAACTAGGGATAAAGATGGCTTAGGGTGTGGCAGGGGCAAATGAGGACAAGGTTAATTCCAATGTGTAGGTTAGATAGAATTTTTGTGGACACAGTGCTTTCTGGGAAACTCTGGATGGCTATATTTGCATGTTTCTTCACAAAAGGAAATATGCAAGATGGTTGCACCTAAAGATAAATACAAGGGTCAGACACAAAATAAATCAAGTTTTACATAACAGTTATATGCTCAGTTTATTTAGGTGAGATTTCACATTAGAGTATTTGAGGAGCATGAAAATGGGTTAGCCTCTGTTTTTTCCAGTTTGGCAAAAATGCATCACGTTGTTTTGCCCTAATTTTGCCCAGAATTTTATGTCCAGCTCATGTTAAGAGATATGTATTGCCTCTCTAAAAGTGGTCGATCACTTTTTTAAAGCCATTCTAATCTGGCTTTTTACAATAGTGAAAATAATCAATAAGCAAATTGGAAGAGATTTCAAGTTGTTGAAACATTCTGTTGTGAATTTTCTGGAGGGACAAAATGGGAGAATGAGAGACTAGGATTCAGATTTGGCTAAAAGTAGGGACTGTACCTCCTACATATGTACAAGCTGCTGTGAGCATGCATCATAGTATACATACACGTTCTTTTAAAGAAAATTCATGAAAAAAAGAAATTAGAGTTATCAGCTGTGTTACAGGAGCCTATAGAGAGTTAAAATCATGATTAATAGCTGAGCAGCTTAATAGGTTTACTTTATCAGACTGTATAGAGAAATATTAAAGTTACTAGTCTATCTTTAGGAGTAGTCACTACTATTCAACTTAAACCTTGAGTCTTTACTATGTACTTCCAGAACAAATCAAAACAATGAATCCAAAAAAAAAAACCTTTTAAGCTGATTTCACATAACCTCTAAAGTGAAAGAAACACAAATTATTCTTAAATAGGAGGAGTTTCCACTTTTACTTGTTGGCAAATGGAGAAAGGCAAGAATGTTCTAGTGAGCTCGGTATTGTTTTTATTTATGGTTTTTGTGTTTTAGTCTTAGACGTCACAAAACCATGAAGTTTTTATGATATTTTATAAATGTTTGACAAAAATTACATCAGTGAAGGCATTTAGATGAAAATGATGTTTTACTTTGTTATCTTTAAACTGATTCCTTCAGGTGGATGGCAAAAGAACAGAAAAGTCTGCAAAAATACAAATAAAGAAACTCTATGCTCCTGGTTTCAAGACAGAACTTAGATTATAGGAGGTATTAGATATGTTATTTTTTAATTTTGAATTATTCATTTTACCAAAAGGGATATGTTACAATTTGTGATCATCTTTTGTTCTATTTTATATATTGTTTTAGTAAATATCTGTATGAAAATTATTCTAAAACAGAAAATTCCCCAGAGGCAAAAGAAAAAAAGAGTGGGGGGGTGAAATTGAAGTTTATATATACAAAAGTTATCTTAGAAATGTTTTTAAACCTCCAGTTTCTGCAAAATAATTAAAATATACAGTAACTGGTCTTAAGATCCTGAATTTAATGTATCAAATACTTATAAAATTTATTTATGTTTGTGCCTTTTTAAAATGCATTGAGAGAGTGTTGGTTAGCTGTTTAGTTCTACCACACTTGTATTATGCATTTTTAAAAATCACTTAAAATCACTATATAATTCATCTTCGTGTTCTTAGGTCAAAACCATTAGAGGAATTTCCCATACAGAGACTTTCAGCTCATCTGCTTAAAGTAAAAGAAAACTTTGAAACCAGATGTTGCTATCTTTTTAGTTTGATAGTATTTCTGAATACCATTACAAGATTATGCAGGTAGTATATGAGGTGGAGGGAAATTGTAGCTGTGAATTGCATTATGGTATGGTATGTATTTTTGTTTTGTTTTTAAGGAAGAATAAGTTCTAGTATCAAACAAGGCTTTATTAGTGAAATTTTGAATCAATAAAATACAGTATTGTTTTGGAATTTCACCTATAGTCTAGTGTTCTACTAGTCTTAGAATCTCCTCTTCTAACCTGTTAATGTTTTGTGGAATGATGTAAAGAAGCAGGCCACTAATTCTCCTTGAACAAAACAATTGAAGAGTCATATCATATTGCTATTCTCCAAAGCATAATCTCAAATGGTTTCCTACCATGGTTGTGTATTACTTGCAATGGATGTGTTAGAATATGACAGCTTTTAAAAAAAAAAAAAATGAGCTGCTTGTTATTCAAAGCAAATGTCATATGACCAAGAAGCTGTGATATGCTAGTGTTTCTTTTTATCATAGTGTATTGCTAGGCCAAATAATGACACCTTGAATATTTTTACATTTATTGCAGAGACCTGAAATTTTGGAATTTCCATAAGGTTTTTTATGTAACATTATATTTCTAGCTTTTTAGTTTTTCTCTTGCTGTACTGTAAGTTTGTGGATATTTTTCACACACACTGTTTGAAAATAAGTTCCTAATTCTGTTTGTGGGGTTTTTCTCCCATAATATT